TAAGATGAAGAGAAGTGATCGGACAACCTGAGATGCCCACGAAGGGACCTTCATGCTAACTTCGAAAACTGTTGCCCCACAAGCAACTGAAGCAGATTTCCGTGGCTCACGCAAGTGTTTGCTTCCATCACCATCTATTAGTGTCTGTACTGGTTCGCTTCTGTCTATAATCTCATTCTTTATATAATTTTCAAATAGCTGAATACAAACAAGTAAGAAGTTGTATAATCTGACAGCTGCAAAATAAAATGAAAACCTAGCCAGAGAGCTCCTACATTACCTGATCATCAAAACAAGCTTGTGCACTACCCGACACCAATAGTGAGATGTGGGCAAAACTGCATGTTGATATGTCACAGCGCATGGTCACAACACCATCAGAGTGCATTCCTGCCTGGAGAGGTGGAGGAGGGGCACTGTGCACATCAGATGAATTAATACAATTGACAGCCATTATAAAATGTGGAGTCTACAACTCCATTTAGAGGTCAGAAAATTTTTGCAGTGACTAAATCCATAAAACACCAGCAACATAGAAAAAAATAATAAAATAGAACTCCTCAAAAGTATTAGGCAGGTGACTTTAAAAACCAGCACACCTGAACTTGCCATGAAGTTTGCTCCCCCGAATCTAAAACACAAAAATAGGTATTAGAAAAAAAAAAGTAAAAAGAAAACACTTTCCCCTATTAACAGGGCATAACCAAATCAAGAAGCTAGATTGTCTATTAGAAACAGAGGTTCTAGCAATAAAGCATTTTCCCTACTTCAATGTCCAAGAGAGCGTTAAGACCATCCTCCAGAGCTCCTAATACGTAAGCATCCTAAAAAGAGGAAAACAAAGCTACAAGTCATGCCATATAGGATACTGTAAGGGTACGAATTTTGCACATTCGTGCCCATTCCTACTTACCAATGACCTTGGTTCACCACATATGAGAAATCTCATTTCAACATAATGATCAAGTATGCTCACAGAAGGAACTTCCGATGAACTTTCTTCATCATCAGCTGCCTCTTTCTCAAGGGGTTCAACATTTATTCTCAAACGTTCTCCTAGAAGATGTGGTCCTAGATCTTCACTAACGTCGTTATGACTACTGTTAGGAAGAACAAGGCTGTTTCCCAAGCAATACATCCTAAATGAAGCATGTGCAAGTTGAAATGCGTCCCATGTATGAGCAGATGAACTGCAATTCACATAGAAAAATAGTTATCCTTCAATTATCCTTTACTTTCCATCTATACATAGCACCGATTAATCTGCATTGTCATACTAATGGAGTACCTCTGAAGAACCGAAAGAAATGCATTACGGAAATGGCATGCTGCATAACAAGAAAATGTGCTTCTCCAGTATATGACATAAGGAATACCCTGATAACAAGTAAGCAACCAGTTAACCAAAATATCTTGTTCCATTCTCTTGGTTTATGAAAATAGCTCACACTTCATACAAGCACATCAGAAATGGCAGTAAACACAGAAGGTAAATATGGAACTAAATGAAATTCACCTTGGAATGAAGTGCATCAGCTACTTCATCTCCATTGGCTATTTCCAAATATACCTGAAGATCCACACCAAGGTCGTTATTAAAAATTGGAGTGAAACGTAACGGACATAAGAGGTTGCGATGGTTATCAGAAGCAGGCTTGTTTCAACAAACCATAAAATTTATTAACAAGCTTAGTGGAATTTCAAACGCCACACTGAATTCAACATCCAAAATATATTTAAGCTGATAGGATAGCTAGACTGGCTAACGTTTTCTCGGTGTCCAATTAAAACAACATTAGTTCACTGTAATCATACCATATAATAGAAGTTCTTATTTGTTTCTGTTTACTTTTTCCTTTTGTAGGGGCTCTGATTACAAAATGATACAAGAAAATACGAAACTGAAAATTCAAAAAGGATGTAGAACATACAGTGGTCGGCAACGGAGAACTAAAGAGCCCACTAATCGCTTCTACGGTGAACAAATCAACACCTTCCCATACTAAAGAACCAACTTCATCATTCTCGAGTCGTTCCCCTTGTAAGTAAACAATGTTCGGTCTATACGATTCAATAATCCTACAAAACTCATCTTTACTAGGATTGGGCAAAACCTGGACCTGCAAATATATGTGACAAAAATAATTACAACAGGGTAGTTGCAGGAACATACAAGCTAACACTCATCAATAAAATTCGAACCTCCAAACGCCCAGAAGAATTTAATTGTGGAAAAGGATATCTCTGCTCATCCTCTGGATTATCCTTCTTAAATTTATCTTCAGGAACACTCCCACAGGGGATTGCAAGAAGCCTACAAGTATATCTTGAAGGAGCTTGAGAATGAAACACCATTGGAGTTATATAAGAGCAATGAACCCTCTCTAGTAATGTACTCTCTCCAGCTTTTCACGGGAGACTTTAAAATCCTTGCCTCCAGCATCAACTCATAATTTAAACTCCCAAAGAGTTAGACTGAAAGTAAATGAACTTCGATAGATATGAAGAACTGCTAGCTCTGGATTAGCTATAAGAACTTCACAAATATGAACACAGAATCTGCTCAGAATTGAATTGAAAACCAGAGAAAACTTAGTCGTTGTGAAAGAAAAGAAGAACAGATTACAGAAAAACCAGTTTTCTTCCGAATGCGAACAGAGCCCTCGGAATTCAACCTTCATAGAGTTCAAATTGAGAAGAGAATATGAAAATCTACGAAGATGAAATTAAGGAAGAAAGTAAGCAAAGCAGAAGATGAAATTAGACGAACTCACCGAGTGAAGGAAGGAAGATCGCCCAAGGAATGGAAAAAATCAGGATAATCGAAAACCCTAAGTAGTCCGTAGCTTTAAAGATCAACATTCGAGTCCACCAAGAAGGAGAATCCTTTACGCCCTTAAATTCATATCTTTAAAATTTTACAATCCAAAAATAATTAGAAACTAAAAAGCATATTTCTCTCTCTTTCTCTCTCTATTATATTTCACGGAAAACACAAATTCAAAACGCTCACAGTCTCAGAATTATTGTAAAAAAAAAATTGATAAATACATCCAATTCCGGCATTTCCAAGTTGAGGTCAAACACACCAAAAAACGCGAAATTTCGAGGGATTAATTTAAGGCCCTTTGATGAACTGATTGATAAAGTAAGAAAGCTAATTCCAAAACCCTATAAACAAAAAATAAATTTAAATAAAGGAAAAGACCGTAGTGTATTTCGAAAGTACCTTACCTTGATTACAACAAGTAACTGATTTCTTTACTTTTCCAAAAGAATTTTGAGCAAACCAATGGTACGGTCGAACCCACGAGGGCTGGAATTTATGAACGCGGTACCGTTTTCTTGCTTCAAGATACTCAATCCATGGATGAATATCCATTACCCTAAAAAAACATCAAAACGAAGAGATCTTTCTTCGTTTTAATATGTGTTCTTCTCTTCTGATGTTGTTCTTGTTTCGAGGTAGTTTTCTCACCAAATTTCTTCAAGATTTGCAGAAAATTTGCAGGCTAAGATGAACCACACTTTGAGTTTTGCCATATTTAAGAATGATTTTTCAAGTGCTTATACAAATTTTGCACTTAAAAACACTTCTCGAACATGTTATTGGTATACGAACCACTTCAGGGAGAGAAAAATCTGTAGAAATGATGAACAGATGAGGAAATCCAGAGGGGGTTATTGAAGTCTTACAATTTGGAATGAACATCATTCAAGAAGGTTTAAGCATGTGTTGAGATCAACTTCTTCCCCTCTCCATATACCTCTTCCTCCTTTTTCGGTGTCTAACTCTAACACTACTAATAATATTCGAGTCCCGACTGAAAATTTAAAACTTTAAGGGGAAGTTCCAAAGGAAAAGCCCATCGAAGACAATATCTTCCCGCAGTAGACTTAGGCCATAATAAATAGTACCAGACCATCAAGGACGCTAGTCTCAAATGGAATGGATTGTGAGATCTCAAGTCATTTGGGGAGGGGAACGAAGTATTCCTTATAAAAATGTGGAAACCTCACCCTAAAAGAACGTGTTTTAAAACTATGAGGTGGACAACATAGACTAGCGGTCGGGTGGGGTTGATATCATAATGATTTTCATGTCTATCAGTTTAGATTATTTCATATTTAAGCTTCTTGAAGAAGCCCACACTAGCAACTTAGCAGACTAAAGTTCCTTTACTTCTTGGAACTTAATTTGAAAGCCATATTTTGACCCGGACGTTTTCGGGATACGCCTTTCGTGCGGGTCGGAACTTACCCGACAAGGAATTTCGCTACCTTAGGACCGTTATAGTTACGGCCGCCCCGCTGTCCAACTAGCTGCTGCGATAACAACCTCTTAAGTGGTAGAATTCAAGAGTTACTTTTAAGTTGTAGAATCCATGAGGGGATATTGAGTGTAGTTTTTACAATTCAATTAAATTGTCTGTTTTACTCCCTTACGTATCGTCATCAACCTCATGATTAGAGGTTAGCGTCTTCGCTGACATACAGCCCAGAACCTAGCTCTAATATCATTTGTAACAATAAAAGTCCACAGCTTTGGCCCATTACGTATCGCCGTCAGTCTCACGGTTTTAAAACACGTCTACTAAGGAAAGGTTTTATACCCATATAAAGAATATTTCCGTTTCTCTCTCCAACGAATGTAGGATCTCACAATCCACCCCGTAGGAGCCAGCGCCCTTGCTAGCACATTACCCAGAACCTAGCTATGATACCATTTGTCACAGTCCAACCCTACCACTAGCAGATATCGTCCAATTTAACTTATTACGTATCATTGTCAGCCTCACAGTTTCCACATTTTTACAAAATATGTTTCGTACCTTTCTCCAACCGATATGAGATCTCTCAACCCGTACATAGATCCCATCCCCTTAATAATTCACCGACAGATATTTGGAAGATAACTATAGTACATTATCCCTAACATGTTTCATTTCAGCCTTGCATCATTACCACACACACACACAAAGAAACCCATGGACAAGAACTTAAACAAAAACACTCTTTAGGGCTTCTATTACTTTCATCCATTTTAATTACAATTATGCCATTTCCAGTAGATTCAAAACAGAGGAGACTACGAAACAACAGGTCGCCGGAGATGTGGAAGCCGGTGATGTGGCCGCCGGAGATCCTCCAAAAGGCGGCGAGTTTCACTTCCTTCATTTCTCTGACATTGCCTGTAAGCTTCCACCATTTTCCTTGTAGAAGCTTCTAATTCCTTCTTTTCATCCATTTCAATCTGCTGGTTCCGACACTTCACACTACAGTAACCTTGATCTCCCCTGTTTTACACGACCAAACATCATCAAAAAACCGAACAACAAAACGGAAAATTCTTGACCAAATTCCATGATTTCATCACCAAACACAAGAACTCCCGATCTATTTCATAAACCATGATGAACAGCTAATGAATTTAACAAAAATTGAGTACCTGTACATGTAAATATCTTCATGGGGGTCCAGATTCTTGTTGCAAAGGACACATGATTTGAGAAAGGATGGGTTATTAGAACATGAAGTGAGTGAAAAAACAAGCTTTCTGGATTGTTTAACCACTAGATTTGGTTCTGGGGATCGATGAACAAGGATTCCTAACCCGACAGCCTTCAAATTGGTTGGATTCCTCTGCTTCATCGTGAAGGGGCTGTTGAATTTGGGAAGGGGAAGATGATGAGAGTGTGAGGGAATTGGATATGACAGATTTATATATATAAAAGTGATATCCACAAAGGAAAAGGTGAGTGGTTTGTTTTATAAAAAAAAAATGAAAACGTGGAAAATGAGACAAGGACATTGATTTTTTTAAGGTTAAAAAAGTTGTTTATTTAGACGCAGGTTGCCCCAGAAATTGTACTGCTCTGTTGCTTTCACCTACTAAATTTTTTTAGATAAATGTTTCCATACCCTTTTAGATATTGTTTCGTTACTATCCCCAATCGAAGTGGGATCTCATAATCCACCGTCTTTGGGAGTACAGTATTCTCGCTCACATACCGTCCAGTGTCTGGTTTTGATACTATTTGTAATAGTTCAAGTCTATTGTTAGTTTATATTATCTGCTTTCACTCGTTACGTTTAACGGACCAAAACATATAATATTTGTTAGTGGTGGACTTGAACGGTTATATTTTCAACCCAACCTAACCTTAAATTTGTTGGGTTAGTTAGTTTGAGTTATTTGAGTCCTTTATTTGAATTTTTATTTTTAATAAAAGTTAGATGTTAATTTGTAAAATATTTATTTATTCATTTTAGGACGTTATTTAATGGAAATTTATTACTTAATTTTAATATATATATTTTAAATATTGATGAAGAATAAATAATAATAATTACAAAATTAAATAAAAATAATAGAAATATATAATTTTCATTACAATTCTCTAAAATTAAAGAAAAAATAATTCGCATTTATTGAATTTGAAAGAAAGTTCTTTTCAATTTTATATTATTACAACCTAACTTATTAGATTTTATTTTTTTAATTCTAAATTTAATGCGGATTTAAAAAAATGACATGGACCACTCTTGTAAAATATAAATAAATAAATAAATAAATAAATAAATGGGTGAGGTAAGTATGGTGAAACACCCACCTGCCCGCCCACTTAGTTGCAGAATTAATGAATTAAGTGAAGTAAACGTGTTTATTAATCCTTAAATAATGTCAAATCAAGTTTAGTGAAATGATTAATATATTAATTATCCATCTTAAAATTTATATTTTGAAATATCTTTAAATTAATTTAAATATAATATTGACTTTCCTATTTAAATTATAGTTAGATTTTGTTTCATTTTTTTTTTAATGATAATTGTTTTTTTTTTATATGTTTATGAAATTATTTAATAATTTTTAATTTAAATTAAATATTAACACTAGCTCGTTGCTTATTATATTCTAAAAAACAAATATTTTTATATTAAAAAAAAGAGATATTAAAAAAATGGTTTGATTATTTTTTATATTCTTCATATCATTAATGAGGAGAAAAAGGATAAAAGTGTTAATCTTTTTATTTTTTTAAATAATAAAAAGAAAACCTTAATTTTAAAACTTTCTATAATTATAAAAGTTTATCCTTTTAAATTAAATACGACAAATAATAAATATTATTTAACGAAATATGATATGAGAATAAAAAGGGTCGAAATCTTTTAAATATCTCGCTCCATAAATTTGGCTTCAAACTTATGATATTTATTCCTTTCTTGCACAATCTCAATCGTAATCTTAATAAATAAGAAAGCAAATTTCATTATAAGACGAGAATCAAATTTATTGCTCTCAAAAGTATATTTTGATCGACGAGAATCTTTTAAATTTTGATATATATTTTTTTAATTTAAAGATTCTCTACCAACAAAAAAAAAAAGAATATATATATATATATATATATATATATATATATAAATTCTTTGTCAATAAAGACTATATTTGGTAGAATATGAAAATGGGCATAATAGCATTGGAACCTCAATGGGTGGAAAATGGAAAAAGGAGGAAAAGATGCCTTAGAAAAATTAAAATGTTTTAATTCATCTTTTTCACGAGTAATTTCGAGTAGGGGTATACATGTTGGATTGGATAAAATTTTTGGCCCAATTTGAAATGGGTGATCCGAGCAACTCGAATAAAGTTCACAACTCAACTCTCGGTTTTCGGGTTCGGTTGGGTTTGTTGATTATTCTTGTTTTTTAATTATTTAAAAAAATTATATTTGTCCACCGTACCTGTTACAATAAGAACTAAAATCATATAAGTCTCAAATATAAAACTTTCACAAGTCATAATGCGTTACTAACATTTACGACAATTGTCAAATATTATCTTCATAATAATGCTAAAAGTACCCACAAACTATAACAACCTAAGTTCTTCTCTATCAGATATTGTTCTTGGGTTTTTCATCCCGTGCTTCCACTTAAGGTTCCCCTCTTTGTCTCCTCTTCTTTTGTGTTTTCGGGCTTTAAGGTTTTAAAACGTGTCTACTACTAAAGAGAGGTTTCTATACTTTTATAAAAAATATTTCATTCTCCTCACCAATTGATGTGGGATCTCATAATTCACTTTCTTTTGAGGCTCAGCGTCCTTGCTAACACTCATTCCCCTCTCTAATCGATATGAGATCTGACACGAACCGTCTCAAATTTTATATTTTTCAAAAAATCAGATTTGAATAAATAAACAAGATGATAATTTAATCATAAGAATCAATACACAAATGGAAATGTTTAAACATAGTTTCCAAGAATACATTCCAAATTTCACCTTTTGACTTATGTTTGGAAATCTTGAGAGAATATTAATCTTAGTTTCCTATTAAAATCTTCTCTCTTTCAAATATACATAACAATTATTAACTTTTTTTTGGTAGAAAATGAATGCATCCACAATAACATAATATAATCACAGAATTATAAGTGGGTTTCTGTTCATAATTAAATTCCAATTTGCAACATATTATTCTCATGTTATATATATATATATGTATATATATATGCATCTTTTCATTCAAAACCAGACATAGGAAATGGTCTTTACTTGAGACATGACTAAGCTTACTGGAAATGGTGTTTACTTGATAAGGTACGTTCTTCTCAGCCTGGTTTTATATGTTTTTTTTTTTTTTTTTTTTTTTTT